ATTAATGTAAAAAATAACACTGTACTGACCAGCCTAAATGTTGGTACTGCATCTTTGTTATTGTTTTGCAGAGAAAACATCTTGTGAAGGTGAATTGGGAGGAAAAAAAAAAACCCTAGGATAGTTCTGCTATGCACCATTTTAGAGCAAAGTTGCTTTGTGCATGCAATGTAATTTAGCACTAATAGTGTAATAGATAATGTGGATTACAAAGGCAGGATGGATCTGTAGCCTCACCAGAGAGAAGGCAGCACATTCTCAGTTTCTAACACTGACCATTTCATCACTGCAATTCACCTTGGCATTCCTATCTGATAGGTTACATCCAACTCTGGTAAGTTACACGAAGTCCAACACAATCCCTGAAAGGATTTAAATACCCTTTCAAAGCAGTGATGTAGGCTGGATTTTCTTGCTAGTCTGGGAAATCTAGGTTCTCAAAGTGTGTGCTTGTTTTACAAGTAGAACTGAAAATACAAAAAAAAAAAAAATTTTGTTCACCTGTTTCTGACAGGTCTTTGCACAGCTGTCACTCTGTTTCTAAATGTACCTCAAAGTATTTTTCTCATGATTGTGCTGAGCGATGCAGTACATAAATGCTGTTGGGATCACCACGTTAGGCCTTCCCCTACCTAAGGGCAGGTTTTGAGCAGTGTCTGCCAGAGCACAGGCTGGGCTCTGCCCAAGAGCCAGCAGCCCTGGCAGTTTTCTTCCCTAATGGGAAAAGAACAGTTATGGTCCCTGAGGGCAATTGCATGATACGTCCAGCGCTTCCCAGGCACACTGACCTGCTCTTGTGTGGCAGAAGGCTCAGAGGCACTGACTGTTTCAGACAGGGTTTCAGACAGGGTTTCAGACACTGACCCCTCAGACAGGGTTTTCAGAGACCAGAAACTCAGAAATTCCAGAGGAGGAAAAAAAACCCAAAGATTTTTAAATAAAATCTAATGATATCCACTAATAGCCAGAAAGTGGACATCTGTTCTTACAGTTAAGAGTAGTGACAGGGGGTTGTATCCTAGTGGGGTTCTGGATTCCTTTGAAATAATCTTGGGAGCAGAGGCTGCTGCCTCGATCTCTTCCTCCGGCTTTTGCAAAGGGGTAGCAAATGTCCTCATTTGCAAGCACTTGAATTAGTGGATTGTTTTGCTTTGTTGTTTTCCCTGAAGCACACCAGAATCGAATCTAGATTTCCAAGTGTCTGCTTTCTCACATTAAAATGTGTTCTCTGCACTGGGAATGAGAAAGTTAGGGCTGAGGAAAGTAAATTAGGAAAGCGGGTAGCAGCAGASAGCAGAAAGAGTGCATTGATTGAACTGGCAAATATACAGAGAGCTCCCAATTACATTGAGGCTGCCCAGACTGCCTGCCATTCCCTAGGATTTGTAAACAAGCGTCTCTTTTGTAAAGAAGCATAAAAACACAAATATGTTGAAATTTTAGGAAGATTCCAAGACTCATGACAAAGCTGGACTACCAGGTGGTGAATTCCTGGCACTGCTCCACTAAAATGATGTATTCCAGATGAGAGTCTGTCCTTCTGAATAAGGGTCCTCAATAATGTGCCCTTTGACTCAGTTGCTGCTGTGTTTTTCTTATCTCTGGCATTAAATTTRAGTGATGCAATTTATTATTTGATAGTAATTTAAGAGCTTCCTTTTCTTCATAGAGGGGAAAAAAAAAAGGCAAATTTATGCTGCTCTCAGTGCTCATAATGCTTATTATGGGCAAAATGGAAATATAGTTAAGTAAATTCATAAATTTTTAAGAACAAAAATCGATGAGCCTAGGTGCAATATTACAGGAAAAATAAAGGAAAAGTAAAAATCCTTTTGTTTTGAGTAGTATCAACAACTAGAATTGTTATATACATATACTTGTGTGTTAACCCCTCTGCCTGCTGTTTCATTTTTCCCTCTGAATCCTGAGCTTGATGGTCTTTTCCCAGCAAGAAAGGGGTGTTTGCAGCGCTCCCAGCTTCTTTGCTGGGAAGAGTGTCGTGTTGGTGGGATTTCCTCCTCATCTTTCCTATTTTTTGGTTCATCCTGGGGTATTTTTGTATGCTTTCTAATACAGGCCTGCACATTTTACTCTTCTTTCATCTGCATGTCCATGTTACATGYCCATTTGCCGTGTATGTGGTGGTTTTTCATGTTTTTACAAACTCCATTCTTTGCTCTTCTTTACGCTGAGCCTCGCTGTGCCCCGCTCCAGGCCCGTGTTTCCGTACCTGCCCCGAGGGGCTGTTGGCAGCCCTGTGGTTTCCAGCGCCGGCCGGTGCCCTGTCTCTCATCCCGTGCCCGTGCTCCTGCACACGTGTCTGCTTCCCAAGGCCTCTGCTATCATGCAGGCTGCTTTTCTCTGTGCTGCAGCACTGACCTGTACATCTCTACGCTACATCACAGCCATAAATGTCTACGCAAAACGGCTATTTGTTACTCCTAGCTACATAAAAACTAGGGTTATGCTGTATAAAGATAAGCAAAAGTAAGACAAATTGGCCACAGCCACCTGAGCATTAGGAAAACGGCAGTCACAATTAAAGTGAGTAACAACGGAGGTGCAGGCAGGTCTGGACAAGGTGAGACAGAGCAAGCCTGACCGGGCTCGGGCCTGAGGCCTTGCAAACTCAGCACAAAGCCCCTGGACTGTTGCTAGCAAGGGCAATATCCCATTTCCTGGGCCACGGGGCTACAAGAAAGGGAGAGCGTTCAGAAAGGGAGAATGTTCAGAAAGGGAGGGCGTTGCCAAGAGCACCGGCAAAGTTTTCGGGTAGAAACCTGACTTGCAAGCTAGCAGTGTATTTTTAATATCAGTCCTTTTCCTCGTTGCATTACTCTGCATTAGCAGAGATGGTAAATTATTCCTTTTCATTGTTGCCTCAGAGGTATGCATAGCCTGAGATCATGTCTCTCACATGGGTGTTCTCTCTCTCTCTAGAGTACAGAAATTTAAAGTCTTTAATCTCTGCTCAGATATTTTACATGAATCGTGTTTGCTTTCCTTATTGTTTTGAATAATTTGTGTGCTATGAAGTAGACTTAACTGAATAATTTTGATTTTTGTTTCTTTGAACAGCTTTATAACCCCAAGAATATTTATCATGTAGCTACTTGCAGGAAAGAAACCATTTATATCAACTGATGGACAGCAGTGATTTCACTGCTCCTACTCTTGGAGAATAACCTTATAACATTTGTTCATAGGTGTTGGATGCAGGCACCTTTCTGCCAGAAGACTCCTATGTATGACAAGATTTTTTATCAAGCCTACTGCCTGTTTCAATTATTTTTTTAATATGATTTTTTTAAAAATCCTCTCCACTTTATTTTTCAGCATCCTCTCCACTTTATTTTTCTGCCAGTCTTCATTATGCTGCCTTACAGGGCAGAATTCGGCACATTGCTGCTCCAGAGAGTTGAGGATCTGGGGAGAGCAGAAATCAGCATTGGTTCTTAACCACTTCACCCCTTCCAGTTTTTGTCATGCCTGGTATCAGCTTGAAAATTTTCCAGTTCTTGGACAATCCTGGTATTTTCTGCTAAAAGCTTTTTTTTTTTTTTTTTTTTTTTTTTTTTTTTTTTTAACTTACGTTTTCATAGGAGTACACAATTATCTTCCCTTGAAGGTATGGAAGAGATTCCCATCAGTTCTGGCTGGTTTGGGATTAAACCCTAAGAAAATCATTTTCATAATATTTAGTTAAATCTTCACGTTTATAGACAGTTCATAAATTTCTAATTACAAATAAAAACTTAATTTTCCCTACAGTCTAAATGGCATCTGAATTAATTAAAAATTGTAAAAGCCCATCAAAATACTAAGCTAATTAAAGTGAGGAGTGGAGGTTTTAAGCATGCTAATTTTTGCAGTGCTGTTGATGGCAATATATTAACTGGCTCATAAGATGACATGAGATAATTTTCTGTGTTTATTTTCTGTCCCCTTGCTGCTTCATGAAGTGCTTCCCCTGTAGTCTGCTCAGCATCAGTGTCTTCTGCACTTTTCATATTAATATTAATTCAAATAATAACAATGTTGTCAAAACAGAATTAATACTTTGTATGAAGCAATTTTTGTATATTGTGAATGTGTACAGGCATGAAATTTTGACACTGGATTATGATGGGTTTTTTTCCATTTGAGAACAGCATGATGTTGATTTGAACAGAATACATATGAATGTATGAATATACATGTACTATAGAAAATAATCTAATATATGGAACAATGTAATAATGTGAGATGTGGATCAGGTGAAAAATGCCCTATGATTATCARTGTAGTGGAGCTGTCCTCTCTGTACACCTGAACTCCTCTTTCCCCTTAGCTCTGTTGACATATTTGGTCAGTGGTATTTAATTGCAAGGAGGTGAGTAGAAGGCAAAAGAAATCGATACAGGGCTTGATTTTATTGGTCAGAAATTCTAGATATCAATCAATTAATAAGGTATTAAGCATTTGAGAACTACCTATTTTTCTACAAATGCTGTAAAAGATTTGAATGTTACTCAGCTATAACATAAATGAGAACATAAATAATGTGTTGGAAAGCCTCTTCATTTTATCTTAGCACAATAGCTCTAGAATTTATTTTCCCTGAAGCTGAATAACAAAATAGAATTAAAAAATGAGGCAATTTTTCAAGTACTTGAGAATATAAGAACCTGGTCATTACCTACTGGGTTCATATTTAGGGGAAGTCATCATAACTTACATCAAAGTMTGTACAGTGTCAATTCAGTGCAGAATTCGCAGACTTAAAATACCGAATACACTGCCTGATTTTTGTTCAGTGCAGCAGAAGTTTGACTGAGTGCAGGCGGAAAGATAAGCCTTGAAAGAAGTGATAACTCACTAACTATAGCCTGCCAGCCATTCCTGTCAGTAAACAAGATCTTCCCTTTAAACTTAAAGATGAGGATCGTCTGAGTKTGTTCCTGTCTGTGCACTGTGCGTGACATGGCTGTGTTGATTTCCAGTTGTCCTTGGCAAAGAGAAAAAGCTCTGCAAGGACCTTTCCTGACCTGGAAGAAATAACGGCGGCTCAGCGGAGAGGGTAACTTGCTTTCAACTTGCTCAATTGCAAAAAGCATCAAAGCATCAAACAACGCTAACCCTTTAAAACTAAAGCCCTAGTTTTCACATTGCCCCACAAAGGCTGATCAAACAAAACAAAACAGAAAATCTCAACAAAACTCACAATTTGTGTGGCCTTTTTTTCTTGTTGTTGTAGCAAAACTAGAGCAGAGAATGACATGAAGTAGAAGTCTCTTACATTCTTACTTCACAAAAAGATCTAAGTGCAGAAAAAGCCTCTATTTAAGAGAATGCAGGAAGTGTCTGCCCTTGAGAACTGTCAGCAGTGTCAAAGGAATTAACAGAGTAATCAAGGGGTGCGGTTTTATGCTTTTTACTCCTTTGAATTTTATTCCCATCTACTCTATCCCTATCCAACTACACATCTTCACTGACTATACGCTTTCACCAACTTTACTTGCCTTACTCATTTAGTTTCAATCACTTACCTGAAAACATTGTCAACATTTTAGCATGTAGTATAATCCTTGGAAAACAGCAAAGCTTGTGGAAACTGGAAGCTCTGCACTGCTTGAATCTCAAAAATCGTCCAATTACTTAGAAAAACCACAAGTATTTTGACTCAAGGATTAAATCCTCTTCAAAAAGTTAGCACTCAACCACGGACACTTCAATCAGGACAGCAGAGAACACGTCTTTCTTAGAAATAATAAAGCTGCAACAACAGCAGCAGGAATAACAGCTCTGTTAATCAGATATAAGGCAATTGGCTCATAGGGCAAACTGATGGAAAAAAAATGTTTACATAAATACAATGCCCCCACCAACCAGCTCATTATCMGAAAAAGGGCACCAAACCCCTGCTACAGCAGTCAATCACAGAATCTCTAGACTGGTCTTAAATGTTGACATTAAAATACTTTTTTTAAATTATTTGATTTATTTGAAGGCAACAGTCAATGGTCTTTCTGTCAGTAGACTACCAGCTGTTCAAAATTTATAACATAGGAAAGTAACTTTAGAGAGAGAATGAAAATCTATTTAAACTCATCTCTTTGGCAAGATAAAATAATTTATATATAATACTATCCTTCAGTTATGTGAACCACCTACATCCACTGGGCTTTCCTGAAAGTCCATCAGTGTGTATTTACTACTCCCTTTCATCAGAAAAGAACTGGTGTCAGGACTGTGTTTCAAAGATGGATCCTATAACCATTTGAAAAATGTAAGAGCTTTTGACTTTACAGAGGCACATATTTCATTCAGATCATTATTTCTTGGGTCTTCTCATCTTGCTTTTTCTTGTTTTTTTTCTTGCCTGCTGGTCCAGTTGGCTTTCTGCCATCTGTCCTCTGTCTTTCTTTGTCCTCTCTTTGCTTAGTAAGGTTTCTCATTACAGTGTCAAAATCAAATCTGTGTAAAATAGGTTAGCAAGTGTGAAAGTATAACCTTCCTTTCTCTTTGCGTTATGGAAAGTAGCATTAGTAGGAATTCTTTCATATTAGGAATACTATTCTCTTTACGGTGGAAAAGTTTATTAAGAAGAAAAGTCCTGCAGGGTTGCCCAAAAGTTCTTTAGGTTGCATTAATTTAATAAACACTCTTGTGAGATACTTCTTATAAACGAATTCTTCAATAGAAAAAAAATTTCAATAGAGAAAAATAAAATCTGTTCTTGTCTCTTACAGGCTTCTTCCTGAACTTTATTTGTGACAATCCTGCCAAATAAAACTGCAGTAAAAATACACACACTGTTTGTCAACAAATCATGCATTATACACATAAAAACTGTCATTCTGCTGTCTTTCCTTAATTGAAGGATTCTTTTTTTCTACAGTGTGACAAGAAACTGTTTAATTTCAAGAGATCTTGCTTAAAGCAAATGTATTCTCTGTATAGAGCTGTTCTCTACCAACCTGACTGAAGCTTAGCTATACAACTCCCTATGGATGTGTAAATTCTGCTTGAAAAATGAACTGCTGCAAATGATGATCCTGTATTACAGTGACTGTACTCACCACAAGAAGAAAACCTCAAATAGCGTTTCACAAACAGTACGTGGAATTTGATTCCCTGACAGAGATTTGTATGAAGAACATGGAAGGCTCTAAATTCTCACTAAATGTTACAAATTAGGCTAGTAATGTACTCAGCGCAGTATGCTGAGGCAGGATAGGCCCTACTTAAATCTAGGCTCTGATATATATTACAGGCAAACAGCTTCAATTCCGCTACAGAAGAAGAAGAAGGATCTTAAGATCTTCCATGGGTGAGGATGGCTGGTTTAGATCTTTCTAGGTAACCTGGTCTTTCTTTGATCCCACAGATCTGGGAAGATTCAAATAGCGCTAGATATAAGGTTATACTTTCTCCGTGTTATATTGGCCTTCTAACCATGTAATCAAAGTTAGCTGAATTTTAGTAAAATTCATAACTGTCGCTTGAAACTCACTATATGATTATATAGACCCCTTTACATGTAGCGATAAGTCTCTGGGGTTTAATCAACATAAATAGATGGAAAACTGAGTCAAAGATATCTTTTAGACAGACCATGCAAATATAAACTATTTATAGTTAATGCTAACAGCTGTTTTTTTTTAAATTAATTTTGTTAATATTAGTATATTCRTATTTTTGATACAGGCTCCACCTTAGGGAAGGATTATCTTTTATAACTTGGTAGATTCTAAAACAGAGAAGGSATGAGAGTATGAAGACTGAATGGTAAAGAGGCTGAATTGCGCCACATGCACTGAGAGCAGCCACGTAGTACTAGAAAGAAAATATATAGGTGTCTCTCTTATTACCACCATTTAATGATTACAGGGCTCAAGATTATTAAATTATAGCTCTATCAGGATTTTGTTATTATATTCTTAATTTCAGCAATCGTACAACATTACTAATATAATGCTAACCTATTTATATATATAAAACTAAAAGTCTAATGACCTACAACATGTCATTACAGACAAAATATGACAAAATATCAACAAATTAAAAAACAAATGATTTTGTAACTTTTAAATTCTTTCTGTGGATAGAAAACAGCTATACAATTAGAGCTAACTACACCTTAATCCCTTCCTATCTGATTCCTAATCACCTACTGTGTATTGTTATACAGTTATATTATATATTTCTGTCGATGAATTTTGTTAACTATTGGCTTTCAGGATCCTTGAGGATTTTCTGCTCATTTATTGTTTGATTTGTGTGACTGTTCACCAAAATCAGTTTTTCTTGGTTACTGCCTCATTCTATCTTATTTATGCTTTGAGTATAAAACTTGAAGACATGAGCATTAATCTGCACTGAAGAGGGGTTGGCTTCTTGGTAGCCTATTTCACCTTTTGCAGTTATGGATGGAATTGCATTGATTTTAGCAACGTTGCCAAAGCCTAATAGAGTGGGAGTGCACTCTCATGCTGAACTTCCTACTCCAGAGTGAAGAGGCAGAAGGAAGAAGTTACTACCTGTACTGACTTTTTTTTTTCCAAATGTCTTTCACAGTATAATTCAATAAACTATGAAAAAATTGTCAGAGCATTTTATTTAATAGCTGAGAAAAAGTTTCATTCACTAACCTCTGGCTTGAACACTTTTACACTGCCTGCTATACTTTGACCTCATTTGTCAAATGATGTGAGATAATTTTTTTGGCATAGAGACAGTGCTGTGACAGAAAATGGCAAATGTAATGCTTGGAAATAAGAGGATAAATGGAGAAAATACAGTGTGAGCTGTTAAAGAGGACCAAAATGGGTGAAATAAAAGGATGGGAAAGAGAATTGAAGGGAAAGGAGGAAGTAATGTTAGTGAAATGTTATAGCCATAAACAGAGCGTAGTTAGAACTGTTAAAATAAATAATAGTATTCATTCATGTTGGCAGTGAGTCCCCGCCAAACTAAACAGCCTAAGGACCTTTAATCTTGATCTCTGTGGCACTACCTTGTTCTCCTTTCCAGCCTACAACTGCAAAGCCTCAAGCCTCCCTGGAAAGTCCCAGCTGTGTTACGTCTGTCCAGCCTTCATCTTTCTTTGGACAAACACTTCTTTCAAAATTCAGAACACTTCAAAGTCATCATTCAAAACCCTGAGAGCCTTCTTTGTTTGAGCTTATTTGCACATGCTTGGCTCTGTGAAGGCTGCTGGTTTTCATTCACTCAAGATGCTGTATGAAATCCAGTGGGCACAACCTATTCCGTTGTAATGCATTATGGAATATATCAAGGATCTGAAACACAACTGGTGCTGCTCATTTATTTTTTCCTAAGAGACACCCATACTAGACACGTGAATGTCTTTAAAGCTTTCAGGAGCCTCTCGGCAATGAGGGAAAAGTCCGCTCTTCCTGCTTCCATGAGAAGTGGCGACTCACTGAGCATCAGCAACCACAGCAACATACAACCTAACCTAACGTTACAGTGTGTCGCCGTACCTAACACTCAACTGAGCAGCCCTGGGAGCTTGATTGAGACTGAGAGTGTACTGAGAAGCAAATTCATTCTTTATTCTTTTACTGAGCTTCCTTTCAGGCTCGCCAAGGTAGCTCCAAATTAGATTATTGTAGTTTAAATAATTTGTTTGGCTACCTCTGTATCTTGTGCTGTAAAACTTTCCCACATCCTGCAAGTCGTTTGCATTGTTAGGTTCTGATTTCTTCAAATTCTGCTTCATGAGCTGTTGTTAACAAATTGACAAGCACCGTTAGAGAAAAAGAAATCACTACACAATTCTTTGTTGATTTTTTTTTTTGCTTGCTTGATTGTTTCTTTTTTGTTTGTTCCTTTCTATTTTTGAGATGCCAAAAGAAAATATGGAGTGAGTTGGAAGTGAGGTCAAGCAATAGGTTCTGGACTTATTCTATATTAGTTGGGAAATAAACTTCATTATCAACACTGCATGTTCTACCCCATGTAAATCCTAAGTACATACATCCTTTGTCAAGGTGCACTGTAAATGAAGCATATAGGATTAAGAACCTATACATTATTCGTGTTTCAATTACATTTCTGCATACTGTTCAGCCAGTATGAGTACTTCTGTTCTTTATACATGTTGGCTTTTCTAAAAGGAGAACTTCTCAAATGACTCTGCCTACTAATTTCTCTTTAGAATTAGTAGTCCTGCTAACTCAGTGTTATAGCCAACTTTCAAGTGGAAAAAAAAATACATGAATTGCTGGTTTTCTCCCCGTAGTCTTTACATTGAGAAGTATAGGAAATATATGATCTCTACCTAAGGTAAAGTATTTACTTCAATTTCTGTCATACTAGTGCACGTTTTTACAGGCATGGCCTAGGGCAGAAATAGACCCAGAGTGACTAAGGATGTATGTAAGGATGATATTTCTGGAGCCACATCTAGATAGGCTGGAAATCAGATTTGGCTTCACCACTTAAGGACAGCTAGGGTTCAATATTCAAACCCCTCTGCTAGGTCAGAAGATTTTCTGATGTTTTTATTGCGGATGATTAATATTTCTGGAGAATGCTTTAGCACACAGTGAAGGATGATAAATCAGCTTCATTCTTTTAGAGCTGATTTTGAAAGAGATCAGAATGCCATGCAAGGGAGGGAGAGGCAGAATGGTAGGAGTAGGTTCAATTCAAACTCAGGCCCTCACAAATCAAGAGCAGAAGCTGCAGGTGCCCATATTATTATTAATGAATAATATTAAGTGTTGCTTAATTGAATTCCTAGGAATTAGTTCAATGTAATCTTTTTACTTGGGATAAGGTAGCAGCAGTTTAATATGCAGGCACAGTGGTCTTTTGAACAAAGTTGGCAAGCAGTGAAATCTGTAAACGTGAAGCACATGGCCCTGAGCTAGTCACATAGTCTTCATACTCTTCACTGAACTTACAGTTTCTCGTTGCAGTTAACAGCCAAGTACAAGTACAGTGTTTAGATCTTCAGTGGATCATGACTCAAAGTCAGGATGCAAAGCACTATACAAACTGTATGCAACAAACCTAGTTCCCAATCTGTGAAATTCCAGGTGTCCTTTCCTTATACGTTCTCAAGTGTGAGAAAATATCATTATCTGGGAATCTCTGACAAAGATAAATGAATTTACTTGTCAAGGACAACTGTCAAAGGAGTTAAATTATTCTAAAACATTTTTGTGATGCTCATAGAAGGAGAACTTGTGGAATTCACTATAGCTTCATAACTGTTCAGGGGCTAGGAAAAATCCCTCATTGTCTTTATAGCACCCTCTCTGAATAAACAGGTCTTATAGTTCAGATAAAACTGTTTTTCCTATTTGCTCAGCAGTATTTGCAGATGCTATAGACTAGATATGTTCAGAAGATATGTTCAAATTCTACTATAGGTAAGAATCTTTTTCAAATCAGTACCAGGAAAAGTTGACAGTTAAGGATGAAAACACCAGAAGGTAAAATAAATTTATGCCTAGTCTCAAGAAAAATAGTTTTCTCATATGTTAAGAGCAGCACTGTCCCTGCAAGTAGAACTCTGGTGCTGGTTGTTATTTTCTTTGTTGTTATTTTGGCAGAGACAAATCCATTAGGAGAAACCTCTGTTTTCTGCACTCCAATTGCACCAAAAAAAAAAGAAAAAAGAAAAAAGAAAAAAGAAAAAAAAAAAGAAAAAAAAAGGTTATTGTCCTCAGCTGGGTGAGCAATGTGATCTCCATGTGGCTGATTTAGGAGCACAGCCACTAGTGTTTCACAGATTGCTTTTAGGGTAAGAGCAAAATTTAAGAGCTAATCTGGCGCTTTAGAAGATGAAAATGTATTGGTTGATAGTTAAAAATCATCTAAGAATTCACAAGGTTAATGAAAAGTCTCCAAGCTATTTACAGAG